TTCCCTTCCCCCCCCCCCCCCGGCCCCCCCAAAAAATCAAATAAAATAGACGAGCAGTGTCCTGTATTTCAAGAACATGTTTGACCGACGAGTCACTCACATGCAGACATGCCGATGTTACACGCTACTCGTAATACTTTTTCGTATTCAAATAATGTTTCAAGAACATGCAAAAATGAAGGTTTGAAAGTTTCAAAAACATGTTGTTTATATGACCTCTCTTTTTTGTGGATTTTCACCAATTGTGACGAAGATCACCGTCTTCTTATAGTGACGATAAAGAGACTGACTCATTAAGCAGCTTGATGCGTGTTCAGATCTTTCGTTTGAAGACGGCCGTGCATCATCAAGAAGAGAAGGACAAAGTAGCGCCAGAGACATCGCCCCCATGCGGACCGCACTGCTCCCGTCTTCAGGAGGACCTGCAGCAGACCCAAAGCCGCCTGACTCGGATGCAGGACGAGGCGGAGAAGCAGCGGGAAAGACAACAGAGAGACATCGCTTCCCTCAAGGCAGACAAACACCGGCTAGAGGAGAAAGTTTTGGAACACAGTCGGCTGAACACGGAGAGGAACCTTTTGGAACAGAGCCAGCGCAACACTGAGGAACGTATCAGGTAGCAGAACAAACACGAGGCCTGTTTTGGCTGCCATGATTGTCATCATTGTTGAAATAGAATACAGACCATATAAAGAAACCATAAATGCCACGAATGAGTATTAAAATAAAATTAAAAAAAAGAAATGCATCATCGGTGTCTCCTCTTGATGATGATGGCAATTTTATTCGATTCTGACTGCGATTATTGCATGAAGTGCAATAAAAGAATGGGATGCTCAAGTCATGAAGCAAAGGACGGAAAGAAATGACACCTTCTTGTTACGTTCTGTGTAGTTACTGTAAAATGTTTTATTTAACTGTACAGGCAATGTTTGAGGTAAGATTTCAACCTTCTTCAATGTAGTATAAAAATAAAAAAAGAGGTTCCCTACTATATGATACTATCAACCAATCCATTTTCATGACTGCTTATCCTCACTGGGTGAGCTGGAGCTGATGTCTGTCCCAGCTGACTTGAGAAGCTTATTACAACATCTGATCGGTATATATTTTGTATAATTGATGATCGGTCGTAATGTCATAATTTTTCTGATTGATCAATGACATCATTGAGCAGATCTTCAAAATAAGACATTGCAGCAAACACAATCTTATTTACTTCAGAGAATTCTTGTGCTAATAATCCAACATTTCTCAGTGTATACAGTCGGAATCTCCCCCCCCCCCCCCCCCCACTACTACCCCTGCCCCCACAAGTATGTATAATGCCAAGCTGGCGGTTGATTATGAACTCCACGGCTGTTTTTAGTTTCCCCCTTCAATAAAGTTACTTCAACCTTAAATGTGCAGATGTTTGTGTCCCCCCCCCCCCAGACGTGTATATGATGGCGCTTGTGTAAAATTGTGAAGAAACTAAGTGTTTCAAGTCATTTTTGTCAGGGATTTTTTTTCCCCCATTTACCCTTGTTAATATTCTCGGACGTTGTTTATATTTGTTTTTCTTGTCTATTTTCATATCTTGATTTATGGTGTTTTCATTAGTTTTTACCCAGCTTCTGTAAGTATTAGACATATTTTGCAGTTTGAGATTTTAGTGTTGGACTGTACGTCATCGTATTTGTTTTTGAGATGTGTATCAAATTGGCGCAGGTCCTCAGCCAATCACATTGAAAAGGGGCGAGTCATATCGCGTGTAGAAATCGAAATCCGGTCACGTGACCAAAGTCCGGAAGAAACGACTTGACGATGAGAGCGATTTAACGGAGGAGTGATGATTGTACGCGGTTTTTTCTTCTTGTTTTTATCACTTGGACTTCTGGAGGTTTTGAGCCACGATGGTATCGTACCTCTCGTCCAAAGTTTGGACGGTGAATGGAACTTGTGGAACTCGAACAAGTCCTTTTTTCTGCCCGCCCAAGTCCCAGGATGCGTCCACACGGCGCTGCAGCAGCGAGGGTTAATTCAGGTCAGTTCGAAAAGAATGAAACCCAAAAGTCGTGCGTGTGTGTCATGGGACACGTTTTTGGTCAACAGAATCGAACTCACGCGAGAAAACCCAATTCATTTCCAAAACAGTACGTCAATTGTGTTACCCCCTTTTATTGATTCGAGCGTTTTTTTATGTTGCTATTTATTTCCTGTGTCACACCTAAAATGACAATTATTTTCATTCCTATTTTAAGGTAATTTTGCCTTGCTTCTGGTGTAGTTTTCTATGCCCCGCTCACATGAATATTTTTGAATTTCAGTTCTTAGATTTCTTATTTTGCCTCTTTAATTTAAAAATATCATTCTCAATATTATTTTCATCTCTAAAGGGGAAAAAAATGTGTCAACCGCCTTCGATGCATCTTGCAGGATCCTTACTTCCGGTTCAATGACCTTCTGTACGAGTGGATCTCTTTGGACAATTGGACGTACGCCACCACGTTTGCAGTGTCCAAAGAGCTGAGGTCTGCCGAGAAAAGCACACAAGTCGATGATTATAGAAAAAGAAAATACTAGAAAAAAAAATACATTCAAGATATTAAATGTAAAAGCACTCAAATATTAGAAAACAATACTAATATTGCACTACAAATATTTAGAATTTATAATACAATTTTAAAAATAGAAAAATATCAGTCAAAAATAGAAAATATTAGCCAAAAATCATTCTGAAATTACACTGTCAAAATATGATCAATGTTTTTTCAAATAATGTGACAATAATAGAAAATAATACACAAAATATAGAAAATAATACAAAAATACACAATTGGATAAATAAAAAAAAATTTAATAAAAAAAATCATACAAATTAGACCAAAAAACTGCTAAATTTTTGAGAAAACAAATACATTGACTCAAAGACAAAAATATTTCAATATAATTCATATATAATTTCAAAATAAACCAAATATTAGACTCAAAATCATACAAAAATGCAAAAATATTAAGATGAGGTTTTTAGAGTACACAAATATATCAGCTTTTGAGATCACAATGCATGCTTTGCTTGGATCAAGTTCACAAAATGGTTTAAAAAATGCAACACATGCAACATTTAAACAAAAAATTAAAACACTGTTCTGAAACAACAATACAAAATAGTTTAGAAAAATATATTTATAAATGTCAGACTGAATTTTGATTTTTTTTTTTTTAATGGAGCCGCCCGCTTTCATAAATGTGTCGTCACCCCTCAGGTCCAAGCGACAAGTCCTTCTGATTCTGGACGGCGTGGACACGGTGGCGTCGGTTTGGCTCAATGGCGCGTTGGTGGGCCGCACGGACAACATGTTCCGTTCATACGTGCGTTCACCTTAGCACTTCCCCAACCGTCGGTCCGTCCTTTCCGCAACTTGTCCCGCGTCTTTTTCTCCGCAGGTCTTTCCCGTCCGAGAGCTGCTGAAGGCCGAGGAGAACACGCTGCTGGTCCGCTTCCTGTCTTCCATCGTTTATGCCACCCAGAGGAGGAATGCCCACGCCGCCTACGCGATTCCTCCTGAATGTCCACCCAGCGTCCAGAAAGGACAGTGCCACGTCAATTTCATCAGGAAAGTGAGTCCTTCATTTTTATTTTGTTTGTTCAGTTCAGTTCACTCTCATTTATTTTTGGAGCGTGTTAGTTTTTATTTTATTTTATTTTATTATTATTATTATTATTTTTTGCTTTTTTATCAAATATGAAGTCTTTGTCAAAAAAAGTCACACGCTATTGTGTAATAAGTAAACTTCTGTATGGGTGCACCATATTTTTCGGACAATATGGCACACTCAAAATCCCTCCATTTTCTCACCAATCCCCAGTGTTGCAGCTTGAGCTGTCTTTTTTCTTCTTTTTTTTGTTTTTTTTTTTTGAAAGCATTTTCATTTTTATTTTGTTGTTCCCGAAAATTATTTTTCATCATTCGTTTTAGTGGTGCGGACGGTCGTATGTTGAATTGAAGCACTTTTTTGTGGCCGAAACCACAAAATAAAAATATCGGACTCCATCTTAATCAGTTCCAATTTGTCACCGATGCTAACGTTAGCACGCTTCCTTTTCTCACCTCACTTTTTTTTTCTTGTTTTTTTTTTTTTTTTTGTGGGGCGGGAGGGCAACTCACATTGTTTGTGGAAAAGGCATATTGGAGGTTCACTGAAGAGTTTAAGGGCTAAAAAACAAACTTCAGTGCATTTCAGTTGGCGTCACTTATATGTGGATTTTTGGTATTTGCGGGCCAGCCGGTCATATCACGAATTCCACTCCCAATTTCCCGGCACCACTCGAATCCAAGAAGAATGTTTTGTGAAGTGCTTTCTTTCCTGCGTGTGTTTGTGGCTCAGGCCCAGAGCTCATTCAGTTGGGACTGGGGTCCGTCCTTCCCCGGCGCCGCGCTGTGGAAAGGCGTCCGCCTTGAGGCCTTTGACTCGCTGCGACTCGTGCACTTGGCCGCTCTTCCTCTCTACGGTATGCCACCTCCCGTGCGCCTCGTTGTCTTCGTCACAAAAGCCTTTATACAGAATATGAATGTCATTTAGAAAATAATAATACAAAATGCTACAAGAAAATATTGTTCAAAAAATACACGCATTTTGTCAAAAATTGCAACACTGCACCAGGCGTAACATCTCAGGCAATTTTTAAAAGAATACGTTTGACGAAAAAAAGCCAATGTGGAAAAAAATAAGATGACAAACATTTTTTTTAAATGACAAAAATCTTGGACAAATAAATACAACAATAATAACCCCAAACAAAAACTTCTTAATAAACAAACTACAGAAAACCAAAATATGAGTCATAAATTACTAAAATACATACATAGTAGTGCAAAATATCCAATGTTTAAAATGAAAAATATATCAAGATATATACCAATGTTAAATTAAATAAATATTACCAGAATTGTACAAATATTGGAAGAAGAAAGACAACAAAACTTTTCAGCACAAAAAAAAAAACATTTGGGAAAAATCCCAAAATACAGAAATATTAGGATAAAACGTCAAGCAATGTTTACCATTAAAATAGAAAAATACATAAATACAAGACCAAAATAATTTTTGGAAAAAAAAATAAAAACAAGAACATGAAATGGAAAAATATTCCAATAAAAATCTTGCCGACAAATATTTTAAAAAATATAATAGCAAACTTGGACAATGTTTTGGTGCCACACATGAAAGCCCCTAAAAGCAAACGGAAAAAAATCCTCCATCCCAATTGAGCGCCGAAGAGATTTGAACGCTTTTTTTTTCCGTGGCAGACGTCGGCAGCTCGTCGTGGTCACTGCAGGTGGACGCGCTGGTGGACGCTCTTCAACCCACCTTGGCCCAAATAACGCTGGACTTGCCCGAGCTGCTCTCCCGCGTCGCCTTCCCGGCAAACATTCGCCCGGGCGCCGCCAAATACACCTTCACCCTCAGCGTCAATGCGGTATACGTGCGCGCGTACTTCCGTGCGTGCGGAAAGATGCTCGAACGTGGTCGACGTTTTGTTTGCAGAGCGCCGACGTGAGGCTGTGGTGGCCCAACGGTCTCGGCGAACAAACGTCCTACCGCCTGCTGCTCACGGCGCGCTCGCCGGATGGCGTGGCGCTCCTCCAAGCGCACTCAAAGGTAGGGGCTCGCTTCCTTTCATCGAGTGCGGCTAAAATATGAGATGAAAATTACACAAATCGTAATACTGACAACAAAAAAAATAATAATAACAACAACAGTGACAAAAAATATCAGTAAAAAATGCAACAGGTACATCAACTTCAAAAAAATCACGAGAGAAGTTACATAAATATATTTTTTTTAATTGTTAATACTTTTTTTGTTATTTCAAGAAGAAAGAAGAAATGACAGGCTTAAAAAAGGTTATTTAATTTCATTATTTATTTTTTTTCCTCCAGTGCTTTTCAGTATAATGGTCCTCAATTATATGCATATATAATTATAACTTTAAAAAAGGGGAAATTTGATTGAAGGAGGGCGGGTGAGAGAAAATATCGCAAAAAAACAAAAAACAAAAACAAAGCAACATTTTTGGATGGTCCCCGATTGCCTTCCTGCGGACAAATTGAACTAAAACAAGATGACGAGTCTCATTTCAAGCCCTCGCTGTGTGTTGCAGGTTTACTTCCGTCGCATTGAGCTGGTCCAGGAGCCCGTCTCCAGCTCGCCGGGTCTGAGTTTTTATTTCCGCATCAACGGGAAGCCGCTTTTCCTCAAAGGCTCAAACTGGATCCCAGCGCACTCTTTCCAAGACCAAGTCACGCCTCATGTGTAAGTCAAAGGATTCTAACAGACCCCCCAGGCCCCCCCCCCTAAAAAAAGAAATAAATAGAACCGAGACCGCCACCCAGGAGGCGGAGGACCGAAAAGCTTTCTTTGCCGATTTGTCAGCTTGACGGACTTGCTGCGGTCGGCGGCGGACGCCAACATGAACGTCCTCCGGGTGTGGGGTGGCGGCGTTTACGAGCAAGACGCCTTCTACGACGCGTGCGATGACCTGGGTCTCATGGTAAGCGAGCACCGTCCAGAATGTGATTTTTGCGCCGCCTTTCTGATACTCGCCCTGTTTTTCCCTTTAGGTGTGGCAGGATTTCATGTTCGCTTGCGCCATGTATCCCACCGAGGACGACTTCATACGCAGCGTGAGGGAAGAGGTCTACCAACAGGTCAGAAGAGATGCGACACGAGCTCATCCAAGTATCATTATGAACGACTGCGACGGTCAAATGCAAAGCTGTTCCTAAAATTAGTCAAATCATTTCGGTCCAGAAAAAAAATGACAGGATTTGGTATTAGATGTGGAATTGGTCAAATAAGCAAACATGGTCAGAAAAATCAAACAAGAATATTACAACAAAAATAATAAACATTCAAAAATAATGCAGCATCCAATTAAAAAAAAAAAAAAACTAAAGAGGTACGCAAAAAAAAATAAAAATAAAAAAATTAAAAAAAAAAAAAAAAAAAACTAAAGAGGTACGCAAAAAAAAATAAAAATAAAAAAATTAAAAAAAAAAAAAAAAAAAACTAAAGTGGTACGCAAAAAAAATTAGAATTACAGCTTTTCAAAAAGATTCTAAAAGGACACCGAAAAATACCAAAACAGAAAAGAAAAAAAATATCCAGCAAAATAAATAAAAGGTGAAAATATTAGCCAATTATGCCATAAAACAAAAATATTTGAAGCAATTGTGAAAATGCGAAGAAGAAAATATTAGAAATTAATTTTGAAATATTAATTTGGAAGTATGCACAAAAATTTGACTCAAAGATACAAAAATATTCAGAACAATAAACAAAATAGAAACACGAGAATATATAAAAACAGACAAAAAAACGACACAAATATTCCCCCAAAATTCAAAAAGACTATTCGTCAACTTGTTTCCCAAAATTTTTTTTCTTAGTTTCTTGAAGCGTTCAAATATGACTTGTCCAACAAATGTCTCGTCCTGTGGGAATTTGTTATTCTCAAATTCTTTTCCTCACCCGAGGTCTGGCGTCTGAAGTCCCACCCGTCCGTCATCATGTGGAGCGCAAATAACGAGAACGAAGCGGCGCTGGCCACCGACTGGTTCCACATCCCCGACCGGCAGCGGCCCGTCTACCTCAAGGACTACGTGGCGCTCTACGTGGACAACGTCATGGCCATCGTGAAACAGGTCGGCTTCGTATCCATGATCTCATCCCCTTCTGACGCGTGCGGCGGCCGCGGACTTTCTGCCGCCCGCCCGCCTGCCGTAGCCCGGGCATCCGCAGACGAATAAGCTGTCCATCATTTTGTCGTATCATCACAACCGCGTGGAGCGACCGGCTCGCGACTAATACAAACTTGGCCTCGAGCTTTGCATCCTAACGGGGCGCCTACGCGTCCCTCAGGAAGATCCCAGTCGGCCGTTCCTGGTCTCCAGTCCGACAAACGGCGCCGAGTCTGAGCGGGAGGGCTACGTGGCGAGCGATCCGTACGACCCGCGCTACGGCGACACGCACTTCTACAGCTACTCGGCCGACTGCTGGGACTGGCGCGCCTTCCCCCGAACGCGCTTCGCCTCCGAGTACGGCTTCCAGTCGTGGCCGTCGCTCTCCACGCTGCGGCCGGTGAGTCTCGGCTTGCGCTTTCATCGGCCAGTCGGAGCCGAGACCTCAAAGTCGGTTCAAGCAACGGTTCTTTTACAAATTGAACTTTGTTGAACACCAGCGTATGAAAATACATTTTTCATGGGGGGGCTTGGGGGCGGGGACAAATATGTGAAGAAATCAAAGGTGGAGTGGAGCCAACGCGAGCTCCGGTGACGTTGCAGGTGTCTGTTGCGGAGGATTGGAGCTTGAGCAGCCGCTTTGCAGGACACCGCCAGCACCATCAGGACGGAAACGAGCAGATGTTGAAGCAGGCGTCCGTTCACTTCCGCCTGCCCAACTCCAGCGACCCCCTGACCCACTTCACACACACGCTCTACCTCACCCAGGTCATCGCTCCAAATTGTCAATCTTGTTCTTGCATGGCTTGTTTACGAAAAAAAAAAAAAATCGTCTCTTACGCTGACTTCCGAAACTTTTTGGGTCATCGCCCCAGTTGGTCCCCGATGGAGGCGGACCGTAACGATTTGCGTTTGTTTTCAGGTGATGCAAGCTCAGTGCGTGAAGACACAGACGGAATTTTACCGCCGTAGCCGCAGCGAGCTGATAGGAGGCCTCGGCAACACCATGGGCGCCCTCTACTGGCAACTCAACGACATTTGGCAGGCGCCCTCCTGGTCATCCATCGGTAAGTCGGCCCGCGGCGAACGCTTGCCGTCGCGTCCGCCGTCACTTCCTGTTCCCCGGCAGAGTTCGGCGGCAAATGGAAGATGTTGCATTATTTGGCCGCCGACTTCTTCGCCGACGTCCTGCCCGTCGCCTTCGAGGACGAGAACGGTACGCTGCTCATCTACGCCGTTTCCGACCTGAGCCAAGACCTCAAGCTCAGAGCCGTGGTAGGGCCCGTCATCATCAATAGGACATTTTAACTGAAGTCATAAAATACAAGTTGTTGTGTTAATGTTTTTGTTTTATGCATATTTAAAAAAAAAAAACGCATACTAAAGCCAATGAAAACCAAAATAAAATGAAGCATTAAAAAAAAAAAAAAAAAAAACAATATTCTCTAAATACGGATTAAAACTGAATCCCCCCAAAAATTACAAAGTAAGGAAACGAAAAATGCCCAACTGTTATAATCTTGCTGTCCACCAGGTGTCAGTCTACACGTGGAGCACCCCTGACCCGCTTTTCACAAAGAAGTCCGACCTCGTGGCGGTTCCGGGAGGAAGCGCCGTTCCGGTTTTCAAATGGCCCGTCGCCGCCCTACTGGCCGGATCCGGACGCTGCAGCCGCCGCAGCTGCCTGCTGGCCTTCCGCCTGGAGGAGGGCGGCGGTGACCAACGTGGCCCCGCAAACCACCACTTCCTGTGCTCACCCAAAGACGCCCTGGGGCTAAAACCGCCCGACATCACGGTGAGACGTTGGGCTTCGGGAATTTCCTGCCTGAAGACATTTGCAGATCATTTAGGAATTGCGACATTTCAGCATTTTATTCGCGCATTTTACTTTCGCAGCACTTAGTATGCAGCTGTGGAGGTTTTGAAAGTGCTCCATAAATCAAGTCGAGTTGAGTTGCAAACACTGCCGGATGTCTCCCCCTGCAGGCCAAAGTGCGCCAGGATGAGACGGGATTGGTGGTGGACCTCCAGTCTTCGGCCGTGGCTCCTTTCGTGTGGCTGGATGCGGGCGACATTCCCGGGCGCTTCGACGCCAACGGCTTCTTGATGCTGTCCAGGAACAGGACGGTGGCGTTCCGCGCCGGGAAACCCACCAGCGTTACGGAATTCTCCCGAGCGCTCCGCGTCACCTCGTTGAGCGACCTCTACTCGCCTTAAATCGCCTTCAACCTTGTTGCCACACCCGATGACGCTGCTTGTAAGTTCAGCGGTATAGGACCTCTGATTGCTGCCATCTCAGAACATCCAAGATGTTACGTTATTTATATTTTAGTGTAAATGTCAAACATTCAAATGAGGAAAATTCGATTCGGTGTAAAACCAGGGGTGTCAAATTCATTTCACATGGTGGGCCACATACAGCCTCGGTAGATGTCAAGTGGGCCGGACCATTAAAATGATACCATACTTTGCTATAAATAACCAAAACAATATGTCTTTCCTTTGTTTTGGTATAAAGAAGCACAAGAACATTAGGGAAATGTTAAAATTTAATGAACATATCTTTTACAAAACATTTCATGAAGCACCTTACATTTCCTTCGACAAATGTGCAATTTACTTTTATCATTCACGTATATCCATTGCAC